GCATGGATCACTTGATGATTACCTGTTCTGTTAATTCCCTCTGGGGCACCTGGCATTGGCCACTGTCGGCAGACAGGATACTGGGCTAGATGGACCTTTGGTCTGACCCAGCATGGCCATTGTTATGTTCTTATGTTCTCTGCAGGCTAACAATTAGCATTGCACTCAGACTGTAAATGGGCACCCATTGTGAACTGAACCATCTAGTCCTTCATTCACACATGACAAACCCAAGTGAGATAAGTGTCTCTTCCCCTACCCTGTACCCGGAGAACGTGGATTACCGTTTGGTGACCTGCCTGAACTCACAGACCTAGAGAAGATAAATGTCAGAATCTGTACAGCCCTGTTCTCCTATTTTCCACACAGACGTCTCACAATGATTACGGTGACCAGTGTGACACAAGTCTTCATTAGCACCCTCACGTGGCATGCTTCGATGGACTAGTATGTCCACGGGGATCCTTGTAACCCTCATGTGCCCTGTGCTCTCGACCAGTTGGCATCAGCAGGGACTTGGGTCCAGTTAGATTTCTGGATTACATGGAAACCTGCCAGGAAGATTTTTTTTCCTTTCCCTATCTCGCTGTGCATAGGCTGTGAGCAGAACACCCTGCCCAGTGATAAGTGTGAGAGATCAGGGAGGAGCTTAAATTGGCAGCCTTGGGCTTGGCCGCCCTGCCCACAGCAGGGGAAGCGCTTGGCCTTCCGGTGGGTCCGAGGGAAGGGGACAGGCTTGGCCTTGTGGTGGGCCCTGCCTAAAGGGGAGAGGATCGGGGGGAGGGGATCACGATGGGCCCTGCCCGGGGTGAGGGTGCTCTGGCCTGTGCCAGACATTATTGACATCGGTGCATGTGGCAGCCACCCTTCGTCCAGGCTGTGAGACAATTGCTCAGAGAGGGGGGAGCTGCACTGTGCCTCTCACTGAGGCATTAACTCTGAGCCCTGCAGCAGGGGCTCTGCCAGCCCTCCCCGGCAGGGGGTTTTGTGGGGTTGGGGCAGGAGGGTAAGAGCTCAGCATGCCTGCCCCTCCCCCACCCTCAGAGACACCCAGGCTGCTGAGATGAATATGGGGAGGGCCCCACTGCCAGCTCTGTGGGAGAAAAGGGACACTGCTGCTGCTCCTGGCGGTGGGAAAGGGGGGCCCAAGACTGCCCCGTCTGTCTGGGGCAGGAGGAGGGGGTGTAGTAAAGTGGTCTTGGCAGAGTTGCCCTGAATATTATGGGATGGAACCTTGCCCTTCACTGCCTTGAATTGCTAGCTCACAGCCTGTGCTATCCTGTACCACTTACTTCATGTTTAAGTCAGTGGGATCCCTCCCCCCGCGACACAATACCACACTACCACCACCCCCATTGGAATTCACACACACACACACACACACACACACACACACACACACACACACACACACAG